GGATTAGGTGATAAGTTATAAACTAGGATTGTTTAGCTTTGAACTAATATTATCATAGTGGATTTCCTTCCTGGCTGTGTAGCCTTTAGAGTAGGTGAGTTTCCTCGAATTTGGTTAATAATTGCTTGTGTTGTTTATCATTCTGCAATTTACTTTCCGCGCAATCTACTGTTTTAGCAAGTATTTTCTGTCAGCAAATGATGTCTTAACATCTCTCTTGACATTGTGTTTTGGTGTTAGGAAATCAGTCTTGACATCTGTTTTAAAGTGCCAGAATTTCAATTGGTATCAGAGGAAGCACCCTGTTTTATTTATTGGGTGAGCTCCATGGAGAAAAATTTCGGTTACTATGGAAAAGGAAGGAGGATACCATAACAGAACACCTTTGTTAGATGGTACGAATTATGACTGGTGGAAGGTTAGAATGGTGGCTTTTGTGAAATCCATGGACAATAAATCTTAGAAGGTTATTTTGAAAGGATGGAGTCATCATGTTGTGCAAGAAAAAGATGGGAATGAGTCATTGAAGCCATAGGAATATTGGTATGAAGGAAATGATACATTAGCTCTTAGAAATTCCAAGGCTTTGAATGCTCTATTAAATGGAGTGGACAAGAACATTTTCACGTTAATAAATTCATGTACTTTAGCTAAAGATACTTGGGAAATCCTCAAAATAACTCATTAAGGCACATCTAAAGTGAAGATGTCCAGACTTCAACTTCTCGCTGCAAGATTTGAGAACCTAAAGATGAATGATCATGAAAGCATTCAAGACTTTCACACGAATGTTATTGAAATAGAAAATGCATCTAGTGCCTTGGGAGATAAGATGTCTGAAGAAAAGCTTGTTAGAAAGATTCTCAGGTCTCTACCTAAGAGATTTGACATGAAGGTAACAACCATTGAGGAATCCCAAGATATCAACAACATGAAAGTAGATGAACTTGTTGGGTCACTTCAAAAATTTGATTTGGATATTAATGAAATATCTGAAAAGAAGAACAAGAGCATAACTTTTGTATATAACACTAAAGACAAAGAAGATTAATGTGACCTAAATACTGATGAAGGAATTTCTAATGCCATTGTGCTTCTTGAGAGGCAATTCAATAAGGTGTTGTAGAGTATGAATTCAATACTAAATGTCAAGAACATTTGTCCTGACATCAACAAGAACAGTGAGGTTCAAATAAAATGAAGAAGAGAGGATAAGGAAAATAAAGGAAAATATATGCATTTCCATGAATGTCATGGTTTTGATCGCATGAAGCCAGAATGTCCCATATTTCTCAAGAAACAAAATAAGGGATTGACTACTTCCCTGACTGATGATTCTGAAGGTGAAACTAATAGTGAATCTGCTAAGCATGTTACAGTCCTGACTGGTAGATATGAATCTGATGAAGATTCCTGTGATGAGGAGTTGTATTATGAAATATTAGCTGCTTCCTACAAGAAACTTTGTATCAGAAGTGAAGAAGTGTGTAAGTTAGGAGAAAAGTAGAGGAAGGTTATAGCTCAACTTCATGATGAAAAAGAGAAACTTTTATCCAGAAACTCTGAGCTTCAAGGTAAGGTAACCCTATTAACCTCAAAACTTGAGAATATGTATAAGTCCATAAGGATGCTGAACAATGGGTCTGATGTGTTGGATGAAATTATTCAAATTGGAGAAGGAGGAAGATTTACCGGTATAGGGTTTAATTAACACTCTCTGAATAATAAAAGAAAAACCACAGTGACATAATTTGTTTCTGCTGAAGTGAAGGATAAGAGCACAATGCCAGATCAAATGTTACAACATTCTTCTAGGATTCAGAAAACTCAAACCATAGCCAAGCTCCAGCTTTGGAAATGTCATTATTATGGAAAATATGGTCACTTGAAACCATTATTTTACAGTCTGTATGGTTACCCAAAATATTCACCTCAACCTTGGGATAATCATGTAAGGATTAAAACTAGAAAGGAATGTAGAGTAAATGATGATGTCACTAGTCTCATAGCTCATACCTCTCTTAGAGTTTCATCTAGAGAAGACTGATACTTTGATAGTGGATGATGTAGACATATGAAAGGGGTTATGAAGTTGTTGGTGGATATCAAATCTCAGCCCACAGGTGCTGTCAGATTTGGTGATAGATTTAAAGGAGAAATTAAAGGAGTGGGAAAATTGGTGTGTGATGGTTCTCCTAATTTAGAAGATGTTCTTCTTGTGAAAGGACTAACTGCTAATCTTATTATTATTAGTCAGTTGTGTTAACAAGGGTTGTTGGTCAATTTCTCTAAGTCATAATGTTTAGTGAAAGATGGGAAAGATGTTATTCTGATGAAGGGTACAAGGTCTAAAGACAACTGTTATCTATGGGAACCTCAAATAATGACTTACTCTTCCACATGTTCAATAACCAATGAGGATGAAGTAAAGCTATGGCACAAAAAACTTGGACACCTTCATCTCAAAATAATAAAGGAAATCATATCTGAAGGAGCCATTCTAGGAATGCCACAACTCAAGATTGAAGAAGGGAAAGTTTGTGGTGAGTATGAAATTAGGAAGCAAACTATGATATCACACCCAATGTAGCAACATCAGACAACTTCCAAAGTGATGGAACTTCTTCACATGAACTTAATAGGACCAATGCAGGTAGAAAACTTGGGTGGAAAGAGATATGTCTATGTGGTTGTTGTGGTGAAAAATCATGGTGAAAACTTGACTCACAATGACTTAAGAAGTCACCATCAAACTTTATTGTTTCCAAGGAAAAGGGAAAAGATCGAAACCCTATTGTTTAACATATAATGCAAGAAGTAAAGACTAAAAGCAAAGCATAAGGAAGAGATCCAAGCTACGAGGGTTGGTTATACAAATGGAAGGTATTAGCCCCCTATGTATCTGTAGTACTCTACAGGAACCTTTTATAAAAATATGTTTTTGATTTAAAATTGTTTGTTTACTAAATGAGTGCGGAGATAGGGAAAAGAAGTATATTTTAGGTTGTTTTTTTGGAAAGACATAGTCTTATACCTACGTATAAATTAAAGATCAAAACCTCGTAGTTTGTGGTAAAAATAACAAAAGGGTTTGTTGTGGTTGATTTTAGGAGAAAATATATTTCATCATCTTTTAGAGGGAACAACTCAACTAATACCACCACAAGTATGAGAAGATAGATCTTGCATCATCGTGAAGGAAAGGCTACTAACTTAGATATATTAATCAACAAGTTACAATTTAACATCTTCATGTGGAAAGAATCACATTTACTTCAACAATTACTATGGGGATAGGAGAATCATATCTCAACTAATAAAGAAGACTTTATATCTAATGTATTTGAAAAAATGTTTTAAATTGAAAATCCAAGTGGCAAAAAGATTTGAGTGAGTTTAAATCTTTTTTAGTCTTTTGAAAGAGTTTTAATATTCTTAAGTATATTGAAGGATTTGATTAAAAAGAAAGTTTGAAAATTTAATGACACAAAGTCAAGGTTTTTAAATGAAAGAGGTGAAAGTTTGAAAATGAGTTTTAGGGTTGAAAGGTTCTTAGAGTATATGAGAATACATAGGGTGATCATTTACAAGAGTTTTATACAAAGAGTAAACATCAATAATTACAAGGTTAATATGCAAATGTAAATACACAAGGGTAAACTTAACTCAATGCATATGCACATGACTATAAAGTCAACAATACTATCTTTTTCCTTGGATTTAGGGCATAAGTATTTAATATAATAAAATTTAATCATTAATTACTACAATAAAGGGAAGTCAACATGCTTATCAAGTAAAAGTTGTGACAAAAGAAAGAAGAAATAAGAAGCATCTTTAAAGAAAGTATGTTAAAGAATCAAACAAGTGCCATAGCAAACAAGCAAGCATAGTATCACTTTGGATTAAAGAGAGTTTGTGAAGGAAATACATCCTTAAAGAGTGCTTCAAGTGTTTATTGATCAAACAAGAACCAAGTATTCAAACAAGTACATGTATTGAAGTCAAAAGATGGGTCATGAATCATGATTATGGTTTTCAAACCAAGCATGGCATCATGTGTTAAAATCAAGTGCTAAACCCTAATAAAATTAAGTTGATCATAGTATAAATATACACAAGAGATATGGTATCAAGCAACTTTCAATAAAGACAAGTTATGGTTATTTAAAGTGGAATTAGTCAATCAATTGTCATACTCCAAATTTTCCCACCCTTTATCACTAGGGTCGAAATTAATTTCAAATTTGGATTTTTATAAAACTCTTCTGATTTACATTAACATTTTGGGGTTTTATAAATATTCGTTCTCGAGTCTAGTTAAAAATATAATAATTTATTTCAAATTATTTGTATTTTTAAATAGCAAATATCTGCACACCTTTCATATACTTTCAATTGGGTTTATTTACAAATTAGTAACATAGCACAATTGGTAAAGAATGAAGCCTTCAACTATGAGGTCGCGGATTCAAACATCTCGTGATGCATTTTAAACATACTGTTTGATGATCGTTTGTTTAATTTAATTTTTTACTAACCTTTTGTAGAGGCCAATTTTCACCCCCAATTTCTATACCACCTATCTCACACACTGCCATTCACGTACACAAATTAAAAAAAAGTCATTTTCCCTAAAAACCTTATACATACACTTGTATAGAAACATCTCACACACTACATATTTGCCAACACACACTTTACACAAATCCAAAAAAGATCCACACATTTTTTCAAAACCAAAACCCAAATCCTACCCGGTCCTACAACTTGATTCATTGGTTTTTAATAGTAATTTTGAAAAGTAGGAATTTGTTTTAGCATATTTATCTTAGTTTTCCTTCATTGTAAATAGTTGCATGTTGTAAAGACCATGATGACTATCAATATTATTGTTATGTTTCTCATAATGTCGTATCAACTCTCTCACCATAAACTTATTTTTCTCATTACAAACAAAACACATCAACCATACCATTAGTTTGTATCACTAACTCTTCATGAAACCTTACATATATCTTCACCCTTTTGTTAAATTCAATAAAAACCTACGAACATGTAATAAAATCATCCCACAAACATACACACATCCTAAAAAACTTTCATCAAATCTTTCACTAATACTTAAAATCTTTACAATAAACAGTTCAATAATACCACCATCATTATTTGCCTTTGTTTTTAATGTTTTTGTGTTTGCAAGAGAAACAAAACAACCTCCACCAGTGATCTCCGTCATTGACCAAACCCTCCGCCGTCGTCTCCATTCGTCCAAAATCACCTCTGTCATCGTCTCATCGACCGGCCTCCTCATCACATCGCCGCTATTCGTCGACTCAGAGCAGTGATGTTCTGTTAATCTGTGTGACAATTATCTTCACAAATTCCCACTTCTTCCAAACAGAAACCCGGCACGGAAAACTCAACCGTCCACCACTCTCCGACCACTGCAACCTCTCGGTGAACTCGGAACAGCATCTCGCAATATCGACTTCGACATCACGCGAATCGCTCCACCACTCTCTGACGGAGTAGCCGCAAGCTTCACGCATCTGGAAGCCGCTCGCCTCTCCGACGTCCCCATCCTCGGCCGCGCCAAGATGACGGCCTTATGCTCAACCACCGTCGAGCTTCTCATGCAATTAGCCCACCGACAGCGACTCCTCCGCCGCGATGGCCTGAACCTCGACTCAGTTTCAAAACTGCCGCACATTCCTCATGACCGGACCTCCGTCCAACACGGATTTACCGGCCACCATAATCAGAAAGTTGGAGAAAGAATCGAACAAGCATGGAGAAAGAGAGAGGTCAGAGGTGATAAAGAGGAAAGGGGATTATGCTGTTTTATTTTATTTTGTCTCACTGTGAATCGATATAGAGGTATATATGAAATGTTATTGTTTTATTTTTTTTATGGGCACCATGTGTCCAGTTTTCATTGACTACGGGTTTTAATGGTGTGGAAAAGTCAAAAAATGCTAGTAAGAAGGTATCAGCGCCACCTGGGGGTGTTATAATAATTTTTTAAATATTTTTTATTGTAAATTAGGGCTAATCATTTGATTTGGGCCTTGAGCCATAGTTTCTTTCTTTTTACTAATCCTCAACCCCCAACTTTCTATTTTACACACCCTTTAGCTAAAATTATTCTAATTTCTTTTAGTGTAGTTAATTTAATCAGTTAATTTTCTTTAATTAACTTAATTAATTTAATACTTAGTTTTGATTGTATTTAAGAACAATAAAAAGGGTCTAAGATATAAAAGGAATGGGTATAATTTTAGTTCCATGGTTCAGATTACTGGGTCTAATAAATTAGGATAAGTATTTAGAGATTCATAATTCGTACATCAATAAAATACTTCTTAAAATAATTAATTTAAACGTTCTATAAATAATAGGATGTCCATCTTCGAGTAATTAAATCGGTTAACACATTGTCTACCAGTTTATTATTCAAAATTAAACAATTAAAATCCATGCAACTCACCAAATTCATCATCTGCGAGCGACCTGTGGCCAATATTTGGCCACGTGATAAGGAGACTAATTCAGTTTCCCTCGCTTTACGTCCCACCATACTCTTTAAGTCAAATCAAAATTCAAAACAGCTAATCAACAACATCAAATCATTTTCTACTAACATAATCAAAATCAAGATATTTTCGAAAAAAAGATTAAGGAGAATTACTTTAAAAATTAACTGCAAACTATGAATTGGGACATTGATTCCTCAAAAGAGGATATGTAGGCATACAAATAAAATCTTGGAGAGTTCCCCTATTAAAAAATTAATACCCCTACCATAAACCTTTAAAATCTAAACTCTGGCATCCTTGTGAACAAGGTAGACGAGGGGTGCCTAACACCTCCCCTTCGTCTAAAAGAATTAAGAACCTAGAATCTTTGTCTACAAAATTAGGGTTTCCTATTAGATTCTATTCCTTAGGATAAAAACTAGTAGTGGCGACTCTCATTTTAAAGTTAGTTACAACAATTGGCGACTCTGTTGGGGAATCAACCCTAGGGTTTAGAAGCCTTTTCTTTTGGTTTTAGGGTTTTCTTAGGATTTTTCTTGTTTTTGGGTTTTTATACTTGCTTATTTAATTATTTATTTATTTTTTCTTATTATATTATTTATTATATATTTATTATATTTATTCATCTGTGGTGAGATTTTATTATTTCAAAAAATTATTTTCAAAAACCCTTAGAAAGAAGGTTCGTCTATTAGCTAAGGGGATACTCAACCCTATGAATTTACGTGACGACTTCGCCTAGAGTCAGTGGAATTTCACAAAAGGAATACATCTCAAGACACATCCTCTTGGAGGGTAGGACTTTGGAATGAAACCTATGACTCTTTGTGGAACCCTTAAACCAAAATCTCATGGTGAGACCTTTCATGACCTAGAGATGAAAGTTTCGGTCTACAAAGAGGCTCCACTTAAGGGAGGCCCTTGTGCCTTTCCCTCTAGTGTTATCCACGATACCCTTAAGGAAACCACCTTATGGGGAGGGTAAAATATCCGTAGGCCAATACTAGGAATCTACCAACTAAGGATACCTTTCACAAATCCCACTATAATCCCTAAACCCGCAAGGGTTATCTCTTCTTCCACTACTATCTTTAGCCCGTAGGAATTCCGTCTTTTTATGATATAATCCCTTGCTTGTAAGGATCCCCTTTCGTCTGACATTATACTTAGAGCTCTTATAGGATCTTGTTTATCTTCCCATGAAGGACAACCTCGCTAATGCACGCCATGTGGCCTATATTAGGCCATGGGATCTGGTGAGCATGGACCGGTCACCATGTGCTCTCTTCCACTCTATTCCCTAAAGTCCAGCCTCCATCTCAACCGTTCGTTGGTCTATCACAATTCCTAGCTTATAGGAATTCCCGTCCCTTTGTTAAAATCCCTAACATGTAGGGATTCTTCTCCATCTTTCTTTATCCTTAAGAAGTTCCTATTTGTCTCAATCTCTGAGTCAGTATAGGGTATCCTCAGTTTCATGTTTATCGTTATCTTCATCCTTAAGGAGTTCCTGTCTGTCTCAATCTCTGAGTCAGTATATGACATCATCATTTCCATATCTACCATTAAAACTGTATAGGGTACCCTACGTCTACCCTCGTACTACGTCTGTGTCGCATTGCATATCCATGAAACTTTTTTCATACCCTTAAAGCCAAAAAATATTTTTGCATTCATACATTTGCATATGCATTTCCACCTTCGCCATTATCCAACTATCATCCGCTAGCAAGTTTCCCGATACTCTCAAGTGAAGTAAGCCCTTCATCATGACAACTACAAGCCTATGCAGTGTCTCAAATACCACTACCATTGGTGATTCCTTTATATCAAGAGCAACTGCCCTATCAACAAAATTGAGATACCCGAGAAGAATCAAGGGGCATCCCCGTGCTTTAACAAGTCCAACAATTACAAAGCATCTCCTAAAGTCAAGTGGATCAACAAAGAAGCTCTTCCATAGACTTTATCAATTTCAAATTATAATTCCCAAGTTGCTAAGCTGTATTTGGTGTAAATTTGTATATTTTGGCTAGTGATTCAAATAAAATGAGCATGCATGTTTTGAAATCAATCCATTCATTTCACTCTTCTATCACTTTCCATATACAACCAACGACTTTTCCATTTCGCTTCTCATTTTTCCATCTTTCACCTTTAACAAACTTTGAGGGAGAATGATGAAAACTAATTAACTAAATTGCGCTGAAATATGCTTTCAGTGGTAAGACCGAGCTGACGATGTAAGGCATTGTTTCAATTCCTAAACAATGGAGAAATAAGGAGGTAATCCGTAGTCAACCCCCTCGAGCTAGGAGTTGGAGTTTTGTTCTACTTTCTAAAATAAAAAACCTTAGTTTCAACCAGGGGTAGGGTAGTCTTTCAATTAATTCAATGGTGCATTATATTCTCAATAGAATCAAGTTCATCCAAGCAAAGGTTCAATCATATCATTGAGGAAATTTTATAAGAAAAGATTCAAGCACATCATTTGCCTTGTGCACATCAACAAAGATTGAGGAAGCAGTCAACAAAGACAAAGTTCATGACGTCTTCTTCCTCAATACATCATTCAAAATCGAGGAAACAATAAAGATGAAGCTTACAACAATCAGCATGACAGTCACAAGTGTTGAAAATCAAAAAGCAAAAAAAAAAATTCAAATAAATAAATCAGGCCCACTAGGTCAAGTAAAAATAAAAAAGACTCGACTTAGGCAAAAGTAAGGGATTAAAACAGACAAATTGGAGAACAATCTTGTGAATTCCACTTCAAGAATCATCAAAGGCTTCTCATCAATTCTTGGATCTTATCAATGTTTTTTATCAATGCTTGGATCTTATCAATGCTTCTCATAAGATCTTGGACTTTATCTATGCTTCTCATCATTTGCGCGACTACGAAATTTCTCTTATAGATTGAATGCATCCGTTGGATTAATTGAACTTAGAATTGGAGAACATCAAGAAGAATAGGGTGTGATAAATAAATCTTGAGCTTTATATCCATTGTTTCTTAAACCATGAACCATGGTTGTGTTATAACATTAAAAAGTCCTAATTGAAGCAACGTTAACTATGAAATCATACTCGGCGAAATTTGTGTTAAACTGACTCCTATGTTTGTTAAAATTATTACTAACCACTTCGCTTCTTTAAATCTCCACCTATAATCATCCATTTCTATTCAAACTTTGATTTCAAAAGTTGCATGTGCATAAAATAGAATTACTTTTCAAAATGTACAATTTTATCTACGAATCGACACTTAGCATCAAAGAGATCTCAAAATTGGTTTAATTAGAAGCGATCATTTCCAGGAAGCTCCTAACTAGGGGCAGAGCATCTACGGAAGAACCTTATGGTCATAAGTAATACTAATGATTGTAGGGGAATATCACATGAAGATCCTATTGACTAGGGGTGAACATTCTGAGATTCAATCAACTTGGATCACGTTTCAAAGCATTATTTAATAAGGGGCATACTTCGAAGGGGCACTCCTTAATCAAGTTCCTACCACAACATGGTAGGGATCAGTTTCTTCTTTCGAAGACTTCTCGAGGCCTTAAAAATCAGGGGGAAACCTTCGAGACTCAAATTTTGGGGCAGGGCATATCAAAGTCCATCTTACGAAATATAGGGTTCAAGTTCTCCTTCAAGCAACTTTAGATACAAATTTCGCTAGATTCGAATGCTTGGGGCAATTAATCATGGAGATATAAGAGCACCTCCTCCAAATTCTGGAGATTGCGAGGGGGGTATACCTTTCAATAAGTGCAAATGTTTGGACAGACCATTGCGAGGCT